CACCTAAAGCCCCTGCCCCCCAGTCCTACTGCCCCCTGCCTGGGCAGCTGCTGGAGCCTGGGCTGCTCCCAGCAGGGCTTGCAGCGTCCCAGCACTGCCTCAGGCCCTGCCCCCACTGCCGGCTCCAAGGTGTGCCAGTGTGGAGCTGGTGCTGGAGCCTGGTGCAGCTGTTTGGAGCCTCCCAGCTGCAGCCAGCCCCGGCTCTGGGGAGCTGCTGCCATGCGGGATCCTGGGCTGCTCCCAGCAGGCAGCTGGGACACTGCAAGTCCTGCTGGGAGCAGCCCAGGCTCTGTCACTGGCAGCAGCTTCCTGGAGCAAATCAATCAAAATGGCCACGCTCAGCACGTGTGCCACAGGTTGCCAACCCCCGATGCTAATCCCTAAATCGGGGGCAGGCAATTATTTCCAGAGAAGGGCCACTTAACAAGGTTTGGTGACCTGTTGAGGGCCACATGGGTAGCCCCGCCCCTTTACAGTTGCCCCACCCCCTGGTTGCCATCTTGGGGCTGAAAGTCCCACTCCTAACCCCTGACCATTGCCACCGGAAGTTCCACCCCTTGCCCCCCCCCGAGCAAGACTAAATTCTAGTTTTGTTTAGTGTGTGTGTGTGTGGGGGGGGTTGGGTGTGCATGCGTGCACAGCGAGGTAGGGGTGTGTGCATGTGTGTGAGAGAGACTGTGTGTGTGTGCATGCACACATGTTGGGGTGCATGTATGGTGGGAGGTGTGCATGTGGGTGTGGTGAGCTGTGTGTATGGTGGGGGGCTGTATAGTGCGGAGTGGGGGAGTATGTGCACGCATGGTGGTATGTACAGTGGGGGTGTGGTGTGTGTGTGCATGGCACTCTCACTGCCTGCCAGGGCTGCAACCCACTGGGGGGAGTCCATACCCCCCCACCCCTTCCTGACACCCACACCATGCCCAGCTGACTTCTGCACTGCCTCTGCCGCCCTGGGTGTGGGCTCCGCACTGCTGCCAGTCCCAACCCCATGGTCCGTGCCCTCCCACCCCCCTTGTCTACCTGCTGCCTAGAGGAAGCAGGATGCCAGGGAAACCTGCAGGAGCAGCCCTGCCAGTGCTAGTGGGTGGAAGGGTCCAGCCCTGCATGAGTGGGAGCAAGGCATAATAGGGTATGTTGGGGCAGGTGTAGGCACCTCACTCCCACCCTCATAGGAGGAAGGGCTGGGCGGGCCACAGTTCATTGGGGGTGTGCCTCAGGCTGGATGAGAGTGCCTAGTAGGCCAAATGCAGCCTATGGACTGTATTTTGCCCCCCCTTCCCTAAACACTTGACCTGGTTTGGTTGATTAAAAAAGAAATCCTCACTGAAACACATTTTTCTCCCCTTCACATTTATGATGCTTTGCAATTAGAGGGAAGCTATAATAATGACTTGATAATGTCACTGAACAAAAGGATGTGTACAGAACAGTATCTACTTAGTGTTATCTTCCTACATCAAAGAGCTCCGACATCTTTAATTTATTTGACCTTACATCTGTCTTGTTAAAATTGCACAGTATATCTTAAAAATCAGTACAAAAAGGTACAACTTAGAGCTCTTTCCTTTACTCAAACCAGGACCAAAATTTTGAAGATCTGAATTTAAGGTAAGTGCTAGTCTGCTAACCAGTGCTGCCTCAGTCATGATTAACAAATAATCATGAAAAAAAAATGATAGTGTCATGGAAATTTATATTCCCAACCCACCCCCTCAGCACGTTTTGCACAAGATGTGCCATCTAGTGGCAGAATATCTAACAACTGCCACCTCTGGCCTTCATTAGGACTGAGCTGTGTTATTTTGGCTTGTTGCTACTGAAAGGGTCCCAACTCCTGTTCCAACCCATTTGACAGTCTCTACTCCAGTTTACCTGCATTCTCTCTAGCAGCCCAGTAAGTGCCTGCTGCCAGGTCAGCGAGTGCATGTACTGCTCTGTATTAATTATCCGGATTTCAGTTTCCAGTTCTGGTACAATTGCGCCAGTCCTCCAGCCATGACGCAGCATGAGATCCTAGATGTCAGAGAGTGGGAAGGCAAATCTGAGTTTTATATTTTATTCTTGAGTTCAGAAGGTGAGAAAAGTTGCTTTGGAGGAACAAAACCAGAGCTTTCACAATCATAGTATGGTCACATGAAGGTCACTAGGATAAGTACTTGCACAATGTTTATGTGGAGCACAGTGGCAGCTAGGTCTGGAATATTACTGGAGAAAATCTTTCAGAAAAACAGCAATGGAATTTATGTAGAGACAAAAGTGTTTTTCACCCAATAGTCTTACTTCCTCCTTTAGGATCCAGACATAGTCCAGTCCACGTGCATGAAGACCAAACAATCAAGTCTTGCATTAGACCGCAAGGCTCAATCACCTGTCCTTAATATCTGGGACACAATGTTCGTGGAACATTCCTCCTTACACACAAAGAAGGGAAGAGGAGGAAAGAGTGAAAAGAAGGTCTCAGGGTACACTGCAAATCCTAATCTCAAAAATAAATCAGGATTCTCCTGATAGGGTGAGGAAGTACTGAGGTTGGGGGGGAGGGGCATTCTTTAAACCACAAACAATATGTGATTTTAGAGTGTTTTCTGTTCAGGAACTTGAGATCCAAGAGAGGGGGGGTCTCATTAAAAAAAAATGCCCACAACTTGTGCACAGCTGTGGGGAAAGATGCACTTAAAGTATCAGTGATCTAGAATACAAATGGGGGTGAGAGAAGCATTCAGACAAAGTCAGGTACACAAATGAGACCACTGAACCATTCTCAGCCGAAGAGGCCCAACATATTCCTAAAGAGTAAGTGACTACAGCACAAGAAGTAGGCTTACAGTGCTAACGTATTCAGGTTCCAATACGAAGCGCCACAGAAGGAAGAGCCAAATGAACTCTTGCCTGCACTGCAGTCTCAGTGTGGCCAGCCTTATTTATTTTTCAAGGGCGTATCATCTCTACAGATGCACATTTTTAGAATTCTTCTTGAGCTCTAACAGCCAACCGGATAGAGAGTAACCATTTGGATTACCCTAAAGTCATCTAAAAAACAAAATCTTTTAAAACAGTCTTAAAAATGTAAATGACCTGCTGCCTTCTGAAGGAGAAGAGAGGCTTTGATACCTCAAATTTATTTAAATTTACTCTGCTGTGAAAGGCAAATAGCCTGCATCCAGCTGAGGAAGCTTAATTGGAAAGATTCCAAGTCAGGAAGTCATGGGAAAAACATACAACCCCTTGCACCTTAGAAATGGTTGTTTTTTGTGAAGAAATATTAGCCTGGCTTTCAAAACCTCTAAATAAAAAGAAGGAACCACTCACTGAACTAATGTCAGAGTAGGAGGACCAGTGATCCAATTGGGGTAACTCGCTTCCAATTATAAAATTGAATGGTTGTGCACACTGGCTTAGCTGGATATTAAAAATTAAAACATCCATTAGAATTAAAAATCACAGTACTTCAGGTATGTTATCCCCAGACACAAGTGAGATTCATGCCTTAGCAACTTATTGCCACAGAAATTCAGGCAGCAACCCAAAATTGCTACTCTGATGCCATCCAAGTTAAATAAGATGGTCAAAACTGCATGGTCCTATAAGCAAAATCCCCAATAGGTTAGGTCAGTGGTTCTCAGCTGAGATGCCACAAAACCCTGGGGTGCTACAAGCCTCTTCCAGAGGTGCTGTGACATGGCTGCTGCTGTGCCCAGGTTAAAAGCTGTCCCATGCATGTCCTGTGGAGGCTGATCAAGAAGTAGCTGTGGCTGGGCCCCAGGCTCTTCTTGAACCACTTCCCAGTCCAACCCCACATGCTCCTCCCAGCAGCAAAGGCATGCCAAAAAGGTGGTACTGTCTCATGTCCCTTCCTTTCCAGGCAGAACACATGGGTTTGGACCAGGAAGACCTGTAGCAAAAGCACATGCTCTGGCCACAGCAGTTTGCACTGCCCATCCAAAGGGATCAGGCTGGGCTGCAGCAGCCTTTTATGCTACTCAACCAGAGGACTCCTGCTGTGCTAGAGCAGCCCTTTCCACTGCCCAGCTAGAGAAGCTCTGCGTAGGGACACCTAGGGTGACCCTCCTCCTCACCCCCCGCCCCCGACTCCAAACCCCAGGGGCACAGGGGAGTTTTGCCCAGGACACAAAATTCACTAGTTCTGCCTCTGCTGCTGACTGCTTTAGGTTTATCAGACTACCATAATACAGACAGGAGTGTGGCAGCATCCTATGGTTGAGAACCACTAAGGTAAGCTGAGGTTCTCAAGCTGAGGTCTGAAGTAGTTCTTAACCAGGTGCCATCAATTCCAAGCGTTGTGGAGGGGCACTTCGACTCTAAAAAGGTTGAGAGGCACGGGGATAAGTCCTCTAGCAATCCAGATCAATAAGAAATCTTGACAGTAGCCAATGGTAATTTAATCATTTAATACTGACACCATAGTATCTTTACAAACTCCAGTAAGTTTACAATCTGCACTTCACTCGGTTGCAGGAGTGGCACCAATCTATTTTCACTGCTTCTAGAAACATTTAAATCGCGCCTCTTGCCCAGTTTGCTGTCTGGATTTCTCACACTGGGAAATGTTTAGATGAAATGGTAGCCAATGGTAATACAACATGAGAAAAACCACCAATATGGTAGGGAGGATGCCAGACCAAGTGAGCTAAGAGGTGATGAGCACAACTAATGTGAAAAGGAAGATTACTAGTAATCTCCTTACCTGTGCCTTCACTGTCCTCCATCCCTCAACAGCTTATTACTGCCATTACTCCATTCTATTCACTTTAGTGTTTTTCCCCTCTATTTGACTCCCTGTGAAAGATCCCTAGATGAAAGTTTTTCACCTAAGTAATTCTCAGCCAAGATCTGCTCTGCATTTCTTGCTGCCCTTTCTCTCCATATAGCTTATCCATTCATTTCAACCATTTCACATTCTTGTAGTAATGTTATAATTCCACTAAATCTGACACAGTTCTAGAAAAAACAGAACAAATTAAGACACTTAAAATCCCACGAGAGATCTAACCGTGGAAAAGGTAACTTAGCAAACAAACTAAAATAACAAACACATGAATTAAGAATTAAGGCCTAGATCCTCAAGACATGTTTAGGCACTTGAAATCCCAGCAATTTCCACTGGAGTTAAGCAGCTAAATACTTCAGGATGTGGGCTTAAACCTTCCTTACAGTCCAGTGGACTAAGCCACATTTCAGCACCATTTACTACTGAAACAGACAGATAAGTGGAGCAAAGACTGTTTGCTTACTGCAAGATCACTGTACAGATGGTCACCAAAATAAAGCACTTTGGATCCACGCCAGCCTGTTAGCCTCAGAAAGTCAAATAAATTTCCCTGAAAAGAAAGGGAAAACAAAGTGTCAATATAAAGCAAGCATCTTGTCTTTCCAAGCAGTGACATTTCAGCATTCTCGTAAGCAGTTCAGTGGAATATCAAATTCCTATTAGGGCAAGGTAAGACAAATTGTCACATGGGAATTCGTGTATTATTTAATACGCTGTCCCAAAACAGTTAACCACTCTTAAAAGTACAATACTTCAATGTAATAACATCATTTAATATCCATGCCATAGTATCCTTACAAATTCCAGATATTTTAATGGCACTTACAGAAGTTTACATTCTGCACTTCATTCAATTGCAGCATGGGACCAAGCTATTTTCACTTCTGTAGACATTTCGTCTGGTTCTCACCTCTCGCCCAGTTTGCCATCTGGATTTCTCACACTGGGAAATGTTTAGATGAAAGCATCTTACCATTTACTACCATACAGAAGGGCAGTTTTTTCTATTAACTGCCTTTTTTTTTTTTTTTAAAAAGACAGCTTCAGAGAAATTCTAGATTTAGATTACTTATCAGTAACTCATTTCTTCCTCCAACCTGATTATTTGACCTCCCAATCACACTTTTGGGGCCTGACCCCCTGCCTTTAGCTCCTTGGCCACCGATTCCCCTGCTGCACTGTGCCATGTGGGCACCCCCAGCAATGCAGGCTGTACCACACCACCACACACCCTGGGGCAGGGGCAGGAAGCAGAAGTCTGAGGAGGAAGGAGGAGCCTGGAGACCCAAGCTGTTGCTGCAGCTGGAACAAATGGGAGGGGGTGGGGGGTGGGAAAGAGAGAAGAGTAGCATCCAGGTGGGAGCTTGGGGCCCTGCAAGTTAACTCCTCATGGGCCACATTCAGGTCCATGGGCCTCTGGTTAGACGAGTCTTGGCTTAGGCAAGTGTAAAGGAGTTCAATGCTTTTAACCTTGTCAGACGGTAAGAGTTAATCAATGCTATCACACATTTCTGGCAAATGTTTCATATACATTAGGACTGGAAAGACCTCACGAGATCAGGTCCAGCCCCCTGCCCAAGGGGCAGGAAGTCAGCTTGGGTCAAGTGATCCCAGCAAGATAAAAATTCAAGTGGTTTCTTAAAAGTGTCCAGAGTAGGTGCTTGTACCACTTCTGGTGGGAGTCTATTCCAGACTCTGGGGACTCAGATGGTAAAGAAGTTTTTCCTTATGTCTAACCTAAAATAGTCTTCCAGCAGTTTGTGACCATCAGACCTTGTCTTCCCTAGGGGTGCCCTGGTGAACAGATGTTCTCCCAGTTCATGATGCACACCCCTTATATACTTATAGGCTACCATCAAGTCACCCCTGAGCCTTCGCTTCTCCAGGCTGAAGAGTCCCATGCCTTTCAGCCTCTCTTCATAAGACCTATTCTCGTGTTCTCTAATCATGCACATGGCTCTCCTCTGGACTCTCTCAAGCTTCACCATTTCTTTTCTAAAGTGTGGAGCCCAGAACTGGATGCACTAGTCCAGCTGCAGCCTCATCAAGGCCATGTTAAGTAGGAAGATGACTTCTTGGGTCTTGCTTGTGACGTATCAGTAGATGCAAATCAGTTTTGTTTGCTTTGCCAACTGTGGCATAGCAGTGGTGGCTCAAGTTCATTTTGTAGTCAATTATGACCCCCAAGTCTTTCAGTCATGGTGCTAGTGAGTGTGGCACTGCTGAGCCTATAAGTACGATGTGGATTTTTTCTCCCGAGGTGTAGCTCCTTACATTTCTCTGTGTCGAATGCCATCAGGTTTTGATCTCCCTCCCTTGCAAGCCTGTCCAGGTCGGCCTGAATTGCCAGCCTATCCTCTAGCATGATCATGCTTCCCCATAATTTGGTGTCATCAGCAAACTTAGCCAGCCCACCTCTGACCCCCAAATCCAGACCATTTATAAATATATTAAAAAGAGTACTGGTCCTAGTATCAAGCCTTGGGGGATGCCACTGGTCACCATGCACCATGTTGACTCCACTCCAGAGACTATCACTCTGGGTCTGACCACGGAACCAGTTCCCCAGCCATTGGACAGTAAAGTTGCCGAGGCTGCAGTTCCCCAGTTTTACCATGAGGACATCATGGGAAACTAAATCAAAGGCTTCTTTGAAGTCCAAATATATGATATCAACCTCTTCTCCTCTGTCTAAGTGATACATCACCTGGTCACAGAATGAAATGAGGTTGGTCAGGCAAGACCTACCCATAGTGAAGCCATGTTGGCTCTCTCTCAGAATGTTGCCTTCCATTAGCCTGTTAATGGATTCTTTGATGATTTTTTCCAAGATCTTTCCAGGGATTGAGGTCCAACTGACTGACCTGTAGTCCCCTGGATCATCCTTCCTTACTTTCTTGAAGACAAGCACCACACTGGCCCTCTTCCAATCTTCAGGACCTCTCCCGTGTACCACGAATTCTCAGATATCCTAGCCATAGGCCGTGCTATGATGTCAGCCAGCTCTTTTAGCATTGTTGGGTGCATTCCATCCAGGCCAGCTGATTTGTGGATGTCCAGCCTCTCCAGGTGTTCCCTTACAAGAGCTTCGCCAATTATAGGCATATGCTCTCCCTTACCCTGGTAAACCTGCACTCTTTCAGGCAGGGTGATCCCCTTGGGCTGTTGGAAAACCAATGCAAAAGTAATTGTTAAGGAAATTAACTTTTTCCATTGGATGTCAGCTGCCCCATTTGGTTCAGCAAGGGTCCGATGTTGCCCTTGTTTTTTTCCCCCGACTTCCCACGTATTTGAAGGACTTTTTATTGTCCTTGATTCCTGTGGCCAATTTGAGTTTGGTTTTAGCTTTGGCTTTCTTAGTCCACTCCCTACAGGTGTGGGCCACTGCTGCATACTCCTCCTTAGTGGTATTTCTCTCTTTTTAGATACAGGAGGTCCATGAATTCCCTATTTAGACACGGGGGTTGCCCAGCCCTTTTGCTCCCCTATGAGATCGTATTTATTTTTGTTTAGCAGAAGGGCCAGTAACCTCCTGCTTGTTCCCCAGGCTCCTGGCATTTCTGTACAGATAGGTAAGCCTACCATCGGAAGCCTTGGGCTTCCCTGCCCTCCTAAAAGAGTCCCAACCAGGGGCTGGGGTAGAAGTGACTTCCCTTATGTTACCTAACCCACCGATTTTGTGGTTTTTGCTCTGTGGGCTTGCATTGGTGGTTGTCCGCCCATCCCCCAGCTCTACTGCAATGTTAAATGAACCACCTCCCTTTCAACCTTTTACTTTGATTCATGTTGCTGGAAAGCATGTTCGCGCCTATAGTTGTAGATGTTGCTCGGGTTTTCCCAACAGCTATACGGAAAGGCATAATAGACTTAGTGGCTAGAACATGGGACTAAAATTCAGGAAATGTGGCTTCTATTTCCAGTCCTACCATTTGCATGGTTAAATCACTTCCTTTGTGCCACTGTTTCCTTCTCTGTAAAACAAGTGTTAGCCAGCTGCCTTAGTAAAGGATTTTGATATCTATTGATGAAAAGCTAGGTACCTGATCCACTGTACAGTCAGTCAGGTTGGTTCCTGGAATAATTTCACTCTTCTGACTCTCAAGAAAGGCCCTATACATGTCAGGTCCAATTCAGACTCCGAACCTGAGCCTGACCTCATGACCCGACTTATGACCTTATATCAGTGATTTTAAACTATACCCTGGGGTGCTACAAGATCCTTTTAAAGGTGATGCAGTATATATATTACCTGTTAAGTGTTTCCTTACCTACACATGATTCACAAGATAAACCCAGAGATTTCAAACAGGAATCCATTCAGATAGGAAAATATTCTGGCCTGTTGTGGACTTTGAGTTCTTTACAACAGAAAAATTGCTCTATTATTTTTCTACAGTCAAAAATGAGTGAAAGCTACAAGTTGACTTTTTCCATGGTTTGCCTTGAGCATTAAGAAAGGGTACCTTAAGTCAAAAAGGTTAAGACCCATTGCCCCTATACAGTAAAACACAATTTTTTTCAGCCTCAAGGGTTGCATGCTAAACTTAAAGACAGTGCAAAGGTGTGTGTAATGGATAGAGAGAGAACAGGACAAGAAAAACATTGTACAGACAAAACAGTGGTAGGCAAAATACGACCTTCGCTCACCAGGATGCTGGTCCAGCTGCGGCTATCCCCCTGCTGCTTTGTGATGTTAAGCAGGGCTAATATGTTGGTGCCCTACCCCTGCCCATGGTATTGCCCCTCACTCCCCAAGCACAACTCCCCCAGCCCTGCCAATGTCCCTCACTCCTGACACCTACAGCCCCTCCCATTCCCCCTCACTCCCAACCCGCAGCCCTCTGCCCCCAAGCCCTGCTGGAGGGGGCCCCCAGTTGCCAGGGCTATGGGACCATCCTGGTCTGAGGGCACTAGCTGCAGTTGGCCAGCAGCACCTGAACCTCAGCTCAGGTGGCAGTGGCAGCAGCTGCTGCAACCAGAGTGGAGCACAAAGCTCCCCCCTGCCAAACCCCATGGGTGGCAGAGCCAGAGCAGAGCCTGTGGGGGGTGGGAGAGGAAGCAGGCTGAGGGGCTCAGGGCTCCACACCCCACTGCCCTCCCCCCAGGGGCTTTCACAGCAGAGTGGGGCAGGGAGGCTCAGTGCCACTGCTGTCAGGAGCACTATGCTGGCTCCACTGCCTTGGTGAGGTGCCCCCTGCACACCCAGAAGCAGCGGCGTCCAGGAAGGCATCTCACCATGGAAGCGTGGCTGGCATGGGGCTCCCAGCACTGTGATACAGGCTTGGTCCTGCCATCACCGGAGGTCCCCGTCCTTCCTGCCCC